TTCCGAATCTCGGAGGACAAGAACCCTGACTACAGGAAGCGTGTCTCCGTGGAGCTCACCAACTCCCTCTTCAAGCACGACCCGGCAGCCTGGGAGGCGGTGAGCATCCTGCTGGGTGTGGAGACAAAGCTTTTTCCCTGGGGAAACCCTTGAGCCCTCTTGGGATGTCCCCATCCTGCCTCCGAAGCTGTCTGGAGGTGATGGCGGCAGCTTTTGGACAGGAGCAACCGGCAAACCAGGGGAGGTGGGGGGTGGACAGGCTCCAGCTTCGGCTCTCTGGCAGCCCTGGGTCACGGTCCCTGCTACCTGGGATGGGGCTGGGCACCACGGAGCCCCTCAGCATTGTGCACATGCGAGCCCAAATCCCCTCCTCACTTGTGTCCCCTTCTTTCGTAGGCTCAGAGCATGATCCCCATCAACGAACCCTACTCAGATGGTGAGTACGGCGCCAGCTCTTCCTGCGGGGTCCCATAGGCTATGGTCTGGTGGAACAGTTGCCTCATCTCACCAAACCAGGCTGGTTTAAAAACCTTTCTGGGGTGACTGCTAGGAAAGTGCCAGCCTGGCCTGCCTGGGGATGCTCAGCTCGCTGGGGAGCATCTGCAGCGACTCCCCTGTGTGCCTGGGCTGGCCCAGAGCCTTGGGGGCGGGTGGGTGGCCCTCGTGTCCTTTGCAGTGCCACATGCCCTGCGCTGCCCCGGGCGGGGGGAGCAGGAGGGTGGCTGAGGCCTGGAGAAGTCTCTCGCCAGTGGAAGCTGAGGTTGCCATGTCCCTTCCCTGCAGAGCTGGACCCCGGCTACCGCCCCATGTACTCGGGTGACATCCCCCTGGACCCCATCGACATGCACATGGACATGGACGGGGACTACCCCATGGATGCCTACAGTGACGGCGTCCGAGCACCCTTCGCTGACCACATGCTCGCCTAACCCACCCCGCAGCCCCCGCACCAGGTAGTTGCTGGCACGTACCCAGGGTGCGGGCGCTTATCGAGGGCACGCTCGGCCCTGGAGCGGGGCGGGCAGCCGGGGGAGGCAGAGGCAGGGCTGTGGCTGCCTGTGCCCGGTGTGCCGCAGGGTCCCTGGTGCTGCTGTGGGGTCCCTGGCACTGCCGCGGGTTGGCATCCCCATCACCCCGTGGGCGTGGGGTGCCCTGGGCTCCGGTCTCCCCCAAAACCCCTCCTCGGTTGAGTAACCAGAGCTCTGTCCTGCCACGTGCAGGTGTTTTCTCCATACAGAAGAGGGTGGCCCCAGAGCTGAGTATTCGCAAGAAGGACTTGGGAGACAGAAGTGCCTGAGAAGACAAAACTTTTCCATTCCCACGAGAGGTTTTATTTTTCAATTTTTTTTTCTTCGCTGTGGGTCTGTGGAGAAGGTCCTTCCTCCTGGGACTGCTTCAAGCACCTACTGCCGCATCCAGCATCCAAGATACTGTTTCTGAAGCTTTAAAACACAAACCCTGCACCATTAGCGACCTTTCATTGGCAAAATAGTCTTTTCTATGAATATATATTTCTTTTTTATTTTTAATATGGTGCCAACGGCTTTTGCCGTCTTTAAGTTTGTGCTTTCTACCTTCCCCACTATTTGTTTTTGCGTGTTGGTGTTCTAGGAAAGGAATCTAACACGGGAAAACCCTTTGCTTTTTGCAAACTCTTAACTTAATCAGGCCAATCCAGAGTTTGCTGAAACCAAAGGGTGCCGTGTCCCAGGACCTTCGTTTTAGCCATCGGGATGTCTGCGGTTGAATTCTTTCCCATCAGCCGCGGGGGAGCTGACTTTGTGTACCTGCCTATCCTACCAGTACCCATAGAGGAGTGACTCCAGCATTAGGAACCGTGTCTTTGTCCTGATCTCTGTTGCACATTTTAACCCATTTCCCTTCTTTTTGGTGAGTGGTGTGTTTCCGTCCCCTCCTCCCTTATCTAACACATTTTTTAAAGAGGCTCTAGATCTGCTGGTGGTTTAACGCTTCCACCGGAAAGGGATGGACAGTTACTGGAGTGTGGTTCAGGAATGGAAGATTTTATTATTTCTGTAAGTTGTTTTTGTATAGACCAAAGCAAAGAATAAAATAACCCCCCCCAGCCCCGTGTTGCCCTGAGCCTGTTCTTCTGTCAGCTGGGGAAGGTCAGGCCCCTCGGGGCAGCTGGGGTGAAGGTGGCCATTGCCCTCCTTGGGCCAAGCGGTGGTGGTTCCTCCCATGGGGCTGGATGGCCTTGGATGAGCTCATTCCCATGCTCTGCACCCCGTGCGGCTGGCCAAGGGCTCAGGTGGTGGCCGGGGGGACAAGCAGGCTGGGTCCCTCCCTGTGCCTTGGGGACGATGCTCCCACCATCAGCCCTGGACCTGGACTTGTTGCCAGCCTTTCCCTCGCCCATCACCATGCTGGGTCATTATCATGCTGGCTCCGTCCAGGTGTCTGTCTGCTCTGTCAGGAGGTAAAAACTCCCAGTAATTAAGATGTTTGTTCATTAGGCAGCATCACCGGTGCCTGCTGCTGCACGGAGCTCACTTTAACGAGCTCTGGGGGATGAACACGCCGGTCAGGAGCGAGCCTGGCTGATTGATGGAGCGAAGCCTGGATGGAGCTGCGAGAGGCCAGGTTAAAAAAAGTGATTTACTCTGTCAGACCTGGTTGCCTCCTTCCACAGCCTGGCTTCGTGGTGGGAGCAGATGGCAGGAGGAAATATTCTGAGCTGAAACGCTGACTCTGACATCTGCGCCTGGGGAGGGCGATGGGGAAGCGGCACCGGGCGCCAGGCAGGGATCGTGGTGGGAGGTGGAAGCTGTCTGTTCGCAAAGTTACCCACCAACTTCAGGGCTGCCCATCTGCTTGGCGGCTTCCTTGGCATGGGGAGGGAGCCAGAGACAGCCAGCGCAGGCAGCTGGCCGCCCCGGGCTTTCCCATGGCACTTTTTTGGGCAGGAAGGCACAGGCTGAGCCCGGAGGCAGGAGATTGCCTGCGGCAGCTCCCCGCAAGGCTGCGGGCTGGGGCAGGGCTGGGGGGTTTGCCTGCTGGGGTGTATGGGCTGGGCGATGGAAGGGTGAAACACGGAGTGGGCCCTGGGATGCTTGCGTCCCCATCCCTGGTGGGTTTGTACCTCTGCCCCATGCATCCATCCTGCAGGGAACAGCCAGGGATGCGGGGGCTCCTCAGGCAGAGGTGGGGGACATGAAAAGGGCAGTCGGGTCACGCAGCGATGTCTGCACCGTGCTGGTGGCTTGGGGTGCTGTGATTGCTGCATCGGTTCGGTGAGATACCCAGCACCGCGACACGGGGAGGCAGCTGGAGAGCCAGAACATCAACCCCAACCCCCCAGCTCTGAGCTCTGCTTGCTGTAGCCCAGCTCGGTCTGTACAGCCACTGGCAGGATGCTAATCAGCCCGACACGGCTGCCGCCAGGGCAGGGAGATGGGGGGATGTGATCAAAGGGAGCTGGGAACAAAGTCGCAGCCATTCCCGCTGGCTGTCGGCATCAAACCCCTCTCTCCTCACGCCTTTGCTTGGCTCTGCTGCGGCGCCTGACCCCTGCAGAGGGAGGTGGGGGGACGGGGAGGTGGGTGCCCACCACACGTGGGGCCCGGGCTGCTACAGAGCGTGGTAGGACGTGAAGGTTTGGAGGTCTGTTGTGCCGTGCCGTGGTCTGTCCCGGATGGTCCCAGTAGCAGGCTGGGGCAGGAGCGAGCAGGGACAAAAGCAGCAGGAGCAGGGCTGGGAAGCGGGGCTGGCTCCGGTGCTGTCCCGCTGGCTCAGGGGAACATCCTGTGCTGAGCTCAGCCTTGTGGCCGGGGCCAAACCCCGGTGCAGCGGGGATGCGGCCGTGCTTCCTGCCAGGGCCCGTGCCAGGACCAGGGACAAGCAAAACAACAGCTGACAGGCAGTGGGAATAGACCCCTGTGCAGGGGGGGGGACAGGGCGATCTGGCCAGGCTGGCTCTTTGCTGCTTGAGCTGTGCAGCGTGGGATAGCATTGGTGCACCCAAATCTGCATCTCCATGGGTGCAGGCTCTGCTGCCCTGCCATGTGGGTCCCCAGGGTGATGCAGGCGAGCAGAGCGCTCCTGCTCCCAGCCTGTGCCAAGTCTCGTCCTTGGCCCCAGGGACCCCAGCGGTGTTGGCAGGACTTTGCTGTACCCATGCCCGGGTGGATGTGGGGCTCCAGTCCTGTGTCCCTTGGGCTGAGAGTTTGGCTGGGCTGAGCCTGGAACCCCACTTGGGATCCAGCTGTTCCAGAGGTGCCCCAAATCATCTGCCCGGGGAGGTGCCGGGTCCTGCGGCCGTGCCCTTGGCACGGCCGCA